TGTATATTAAACGCTCAATAATGATTTCAATATTATTTTGTATTATATTTTACATGTAGCACTTAAAATTGGACAACTTCTATTTTGAGACATTTAATTAATTAATTTATTATTTATTTATTTATTTTGAGAGAGAGAGCAAGGGAGGGGCAGAAAGAGAGGGAGAGAGAGTCCCAAGCAGGCTCCACGCTGTCATCACAGAGTCTGATGCTGGGCTCTATCCCATGAACCATGAGATCATGACCTGAGCCAAAATCAAGAGTAAGACACTTGGGGCGCCTAGGTGGCTCAGTTGATTGAGCAGGTGACTATTGATTTTGGCTCAGGTCATGATCCCAGGGTCGTTGGATCAAGCCCAGCAATGGACTCTGTGCTGGGTGTGGAGCCTGCTTGAGGTTCTCTCTCTCTCTCTCTCTCTCTCTCTGCCTCCCTCTACTCACACACACTCTCTCTCTCTCAAATAAATAAAATGTTAAAAAAAAAAAAAGGAAAAGCTTAACCAACTTAGTCACTCAGGTTCCCCCAGACATTTAATTTAAAAAACAGAATAACAGGGGCACCTGGCCGGCTCAGTCGGTAGAGCATGAGACTACATGAGACTCATAATCTCAGGGTGGTGAGTTCAAGCCCCATGTTGGGCGTGGAGCGTACTTAATTAAAAAAAAATCAGAATAATACAATATATGATCACATGCATAAATTATATTATTAACATATGATATATATTTCATATAAATTAATTATATTATAGACTATATTCCCTACCCCCAATAAAATTGGAAATCCCCTTAGGCATTCACTATGAAGGTTTATGAGCAACTTGGTCTCTATTTTTAATAATTGCTTGCTTAATTAATTAGCAAGTGTCTACTGGACCTTAACTCAGCCCTGATCATTCATATATACTGCTTCAAGATTTTCCGATCATTCTCTGTGGAGTTCTTTAATTTAGGGTGACCCACCATCCCAGTTTTCTCAGGACTGAGGGAACGTGGGAGTTTTAGTTAAAACCAAATTTGAGGGGGGTCTTGAGACTCAGAACTTTCAGTGCTAAAACCAGGATGAGTTGGTCACCCTATTAATTCGTAACACCTCTTTCCCTGCACCACTGAGTGTCGCGTAGGCGGAGGCTCGGGTGCAGTCAAGGTTCGTCTCCACCTGTAACCCCCCGGGTCCCCCACCCCTGTGACAGAGGAAGAATTGCTGCTGGAGGTGTAACGGCCATTCATACTGGTTTACAAGAGGTGTCAAAGACCGCCCTCATCCACGACGGCCTAGCACGTGGAATTGATGGCCTAGCACATGGAATTCACGAAGCTGCCAAAGCCTTAGACAAGCACCAAGCCCGTCTTTGTTGCATCCAACTGTGATGAGCCTATATGTAGGAGGCTGGTGGAGGCGCTCTGTGCTGAACACTAAATCAACCTAATTAAGGTTGGTGACAACAAGAAACTAGGGGAATGGGTAGGCTTCTGTAAAGTTGACAGAGAGAGAAAAACCCCTAAAGCGGTTGGTTGCAGCTGTGCGGTGGTTAAGGACTATGGCAGAGTCTCAGGCCAAGGATGTTATCAGGGAATACTTCAAATGCAAGAAATGAACAAATAAAAAACTTGGTTCTTGTTCCTCAAAAAAAAAAAAATTCATAATGGATTTGAGAGATAGAGAGATGAATCGCCTGCTTCTAGAGTCGATGGCCACGGTCACTACTATAGCAATGCTGGAGATCTGAGGAGAGTATTTCCAGCTGGGTCTTATGGGGGTGTTAGACCCTGAGTGACAGAGCCTATAGCTTTGCAAGAAACTCAATTTTACCAATTCATGTTGCAGTGATCAGATCCTAGGGAATTTCACTAAAACTTACAAATGATGGATTAGTAAATCAGAACATCAATGTAAAATGTTCCTGTTACTTTCCTAGGGCAGCCCCTTACCTGCTTAAGGTACCCAAGAGGGAATGGAAAGTGAGCAAGTGGTGGAGGTGAGCGTTACTGGAAGGTGTACTGGTGTTGGATTTTAGTTGAGTCTCCACCGCAGACAGCCCCTTTCTAGGGAGATGGAGCATGCGTGTGACTAGTGGCGACCACAGATGAGACTTACTGGACTGACTCACCCACCCTGTGGGGCATCTGTGCTTACTGTGAGCTCCCAACCCACTCTTGTGCTCATAACCTCTTCACCTCATCCCGGTACGCTTTTCCAAAGTGACAGTCCTAAGTCCCAGATTTGTTTACCCCACTCTACTTTTATTATAAAGTGCTTCCTGATATTAGATATATCTGTCCCTGAGTCACATCACATGGGAATTCTGGGAATATTACCTTGAAATGGCTGATTTTCTCTAATTTTGTTTAGTCAAAAAGAGGTTCCTGTTCTGTGCATGAGCCTTCATTCTCTCTCCAGCTTTACTGCAGCTTGTGTCTCATCAGGACAGTTACTTCTGTGGTTTGCAGTCTCTCAGACCACAGGGATTTTTCACCACCAGCACCACCTGCTGCCCTGATTCCCAGAGGCTTTCCTCCCTTTCCACCTGGCCTCTTCGCTGCCCTCTAGTTGACATACTTTGGGGTTTGCCACTGGCCAAGAACCGGGAGGGGCTGCGTTGGTGTGGGGTGATGGGTGATCCGGAAATAGCCTTGGGGGAGGGGCCTGGCTTTGAAGCTGGCATTGAGGTGTGTCTGTGCTCCTAGTGCCTGGCACTCAGCCGTCAGAAGGAGGCAACTTTGCAGATCCAGCTCTTCTTTCCAGGGAGGACCCCCTGCACAGGGTATTTACCCCTCTGGGTTGGTGATAGAAAACTCTACTCTGGGCTAGCTGGTGCTTCCTCCCCCTGGGGCTCACGCCCTTTAACTGGGTCTGGCAAAGGAAGGCAGGCCCTGGGCTTGTGGCCTGGAGGGGTCTAGCCAACGATTCACATATAGCAGCCTTTTACCTTTGCCAGCACGCATGACCCCTACTCAGCATGAGTCACTCATACAGATACCCCAGGTGATGAAAGATTTCTCATCTGGGGCAGGGGTTGTAAAGGGAGAAAGGAGCAAGGCAGGGTGCCCAGTGGTGCAGGGGCCAGAGGTGGAGCCGAGAAGGCACCAGGTGCACGCCGGTTTTCCCTGAAGTCACCCCCTCTCTGCTCAGACGACAGGCAGCTGGTTGACACTGACCAGGCTGACTCAGGAGAGGTCTGGCAACTGCAAGTGACAAGCTCATGCTTTGTGGTGGTGACAGGCTTATGGTCTCCCTGCCACCTATCAGGCAGCCCAGAGCCTAGCCTCTGACTGCCCATTCCCTGCCCATCCGTCACTTTTGTTCATAAGGGTTAGGCCTAAATGTTGCTCACTGTTCATACGTCAAAGCTTTATTAAAGATAAATAGGTTCATGGAAGGAAAAGTGTGTCCTCAGGCCAACAATGAACAAGAAGAAAAAGATCTTAATTTGCCCAAATTAAGAATACTGATTCTGGGTAATCTTCAGCCTCTGTAGGGACTCACAGTCACCTTCTTGGGCTGGTCCTTCACCTGTATGCTGAGCTCTGCCAGCCCGAATCCTTCTGATCCACTGGGCTGGCCCTCTGGCTTTGGCCAAGCATGCTGGTGGTGACAGTAATGAGAAGGCAGGCACAGGTCCCCAGCTACCCTGACATGGGTTATGGGGACACTTAACAGGTATACCTGAAGCAACTTGAGGCTGACAGTCCCACCAACCCAGAGAGACTGCACCTGCCCTGTCTGCACAGGTGTTCAAAGTCCTCACATTCTCTGACAACCATGCACTCATCCAATGGCTCCAAAAGACCTCAGAGATGGGATTCTACACTAACCCAAAAGATATCATAAAAGGCAGGACGTGCAATGGTCAGGGATACTGATGCCAGTCAAACCAGGATTGGACTCCAACTCTGTCATTTACCAGGTGGGTGACTTGGTACATTAACCATGGTTAGTCTTAGTTTCCTTGTATTAATAACATCTGTCACTTCATAGAGTTGTCATGAGGATTGAATAATGTGGAGTACCTAGCAGAGTGTCCACGTGCATGTTTGCTATTATTCCCCAAACCTCACCCTTAGGGTGCATAAAGGCCTAAGAGGGGCCCTGACAATCCACCATGATCTAGGGACAACCTGCTTTGCCCTTTTGATTCTGAACATTTAGATCACTATATATTTACTACTTCCCTGCAGTTTTCCACAAGAAGTGGGAGGGCTCTGTAGACCACCTGTAAACAGAATTGTGGAGCCTTAGTTATGGGCCCACTTCGGGCCCTGCTTATAGTCTAGGCTTTGGGTTTGGTCTCAGGAGTTGATTGTCCTAGACTCCAGCTGCCTGCCCAGTGGCTTTCTTGGACTGGCTCTCTGGCATACCCTGCTTACAAGATTAAAGGCACTTGGATCAACTCTACTGCTTGCCCAGGCCTGGCGGTGGGGGTGGTGACTGCAGGCCTGCTTGCTATGATGATTAGCAGGACACTCTGATGTGGGAACATGAAACTGGCAGATTGGTCACCTATACAGGGAAGGGTGGGAGGGACCTGGGACCCGGAATGTCAGTAAGAGTAAGGTAATATCTGTTGGCCTTCTTACCCTGGGAAGGCATGTCTCACATGGGTAGACACCACCTATGTTCTCCAAAATGAGGAAGGAGAAGGAAAAGCTAGGGGAGGCATTTGCTCAGAGTTGAAGAGGCTGGAAATAGGGGAAAGAACAGGCACTACCCCCTTCCCCACATCTACAGGCCTTCAGAAAACCAGTAACTTCATTTATGTCCAGTGCTTTATTAAACATAAATAGTCTCATCAGAGGAGACAGAAACGTGTCCCCAGGCCAATACAGAGTACGTGCATGTGTATTTATGAGGAAGAGATGTGTGAGGTCCCTGATCTGTGCTCTGAGGGGGTGGTCAGTCAGGCGGGGCCTGGGCCAACCAGTAAGGCAGACAAGGTCCTGGTCCTGGGGGACTCACTGCTCCTGGGCGCCCCAGGAGATGTAGTCTGGCCGCGTGGCCGCATGATACTCGTCGATGAGCTGCTGCACAACCTCCCTGGACGTGTCCAGCTCATCAAAGTTCTCCTTGAAGATGTCCTCCTTGCGGAACTGCTCCAGGAAGGCCTCCCGCTTCCGCAGCTTGTCATACTGGCGACAGGTCCGCTCGAAGAGCTTGGTGTGTGCAGAAACCAGGGGTCACAAAGAACATAAAGTAACAATATGG